ATAATCGAAGGTCTATTTGCTCAAATAATCTGGTAATCACTCAAGATTAAGACTGATCGTCCCAAGATTAAAAGGATACTGGCTATTTTCACAGCGTTTCGATGTGCGAACTGCTGGATTGGGTGGTCATGCCAAGAAAAGTGCTCCTAATATGAATTGTTTTAATTTTCCATTTTGATAGGCATAAGGTTGCCAGAAGCTTTAGACTGTGAAATAAAGCACGTTTTACAAGATCCTGGATTGCATTGCTGCAGGAACATGGCTCTGGAGATGGGTTGGAACATGATGGAACTGTGCAGAACCCAATGCGAGAGATTTGCACATGTCTTGTGGTGTGGAATGTCTGCAAAAAGGTGCAGTCTTCTTAGGTTGGGAATGGTAACACAATCCCAAAGTTTCTTGTGCCTTAGTGATCAAACCATAAGCACATGTCTGATGATGTGCTGATGCTCACCTGTTAGACTCTCCTGTTTCATATCCTCCTTCCATCTGATCGAGAAGTAAGGAAACAGTGAATGACAGAGAGTTGCGCCAATTATTCCACAGCTAGATGTAAGTTGGATTCGCATGACAGAGTTGCAATAGTGAGTCTGCTATAAGGTAGTTGGTAGAAATGGCAAGTATTTACTCGAGACGCTGCTCATAGTCTGTCTGGATGCAATGTGTGCCTAGTTCAAGTTGCATGTCTTGCTTGTGCTTGTGCTTGTGTTCTACGAGACATCCTAGTGCAAGGCACCTGGTGGCACACACTATCATTGATGATAGATTGTGGTTCAGAATGTTACGTTGACTCGTGACAACAGCAAGGACGATCTTCACACTTTGAGGTGCCGTACAAATGACTTCTGTGCAAAGGGTATCACTGTATAACCTCTTATAACTTCTGGTATTTCTGATAGCATTGCCCTAGCTTGAGTAGCTGTGTGTTTAAAGTGTCATTATGTATTTTGAAGGAAGATAAATTATGTTCTACGTACCTACCTCTCTTTTTATGACAAGGCTGAGGATGTGTTGAGAGCAGAAAACAACAATTGTCACTTGCCACTGCTGGTGTGGAGCACAGTCATGTGAGACACATGACTTACAGGCACTACAAAGCTATGCACTGCACCCCAGACACTTCTATGTGAGCACCTATGACACACAGCACATACTGGACAGCTGGGTTCAAGGTTACCACATCAGCTTACAGCTGGCTAAGGAACAGACCACTAATATCACTGACTTTTAATGGTCATGTCACCACAAGGATAATTAGTCTACATACAAAGCCTCTCCCAAGTCTGAGGCAAAAGGTGCTGAGAGGCCCCACACCATCTCAGTGTGCATCCCACAACACCTCTGAAGTCTGGTGAGGCCACCTTACATCGGTGAGATTTCGTGACCTGTCAGCGTGCCTCTTCTCTTGAGATGGTGGAGGGTCTGGTGATTTCACAGGTGAACCATCATCTCCAGAGGGGACAGGTGATTGCTGAGAGGACAGCAGAGGTCAGACAGGTGAGATCTTGTGAGGTCGCGGAATAGACCACCGTCTGCAGAGTGTCAGGACTCAGCATAATTCCCAGGCCAGGTCACGTGGGGTCACCAGACGGCCACAATCCCCAGGTGGGACAGGTGACTACTGGGAGGACAGCATGGGTGACAGGCCAGGTCACGTGGGTCTCCAGACGGGCCACCGTCACCAGAGACAACAGGTGACTACTGAGAGGTAATCAGGGGTCACAGGTCAGGTCACCAGACAGACCAGTCCCCTCTCGTGACGGTGGACGGTCTGGTGACATGACCTGTGACCCCTGCTGACACCTCAGTAGTCATACGTCCCCTCCGGTGACAGTGGTCTGTCTGGTGACCTGACCTGTGACCCCTGCTGACACCTCAGTAGTCATACGTCCCCTCCGGTGACAGTGGTCTGTCTGAGTGACCTGGCCTGTGACCCCTGCTGACACCTCAGTAGTCTCCGGTGACGGTGAATGGTCTGGTGATCTGGCCTGTGACCCCTGCTGACATCTCAGTAGTCACATGTCCCCTCCGGCGACAGTGGTCTGTCTGGTGACCTGGCCTGTGGGCTGTGACCCCGGCTGACATCTCAGTAGTCAAACATCCCCTCCGGTGATGGTTGACGGTCTGTTGACATGACCTATGACCCCTGCTGACACCTCAGTAGTCATACGTCCCCTCCGGTGACAGTGGTCTGTCTGGTGACCTGACCTGTGACCCTGCTGACACCTCAGTAGTCATACGTCCCCTCCGGTGACAGTGGTCTGTCTGGTGACCTGACCTGTGACCCCTGCTGACACCTCAGTAGTCATACGTCCCCTCCGGTGACAGTGGTCTGTCTGGTGACCTGACCTGTGACCCCTGCTGACATCTCAGTAGTCAAACATCCCCTCCGGTGACAGTTGACGGTGTGGTGACATGACCTATGACCCCTGCTGACACCTCAGTAGTCATACGTCCCCTCCGGTGAAGGTGGTCTGTCTGGTGACCTGACCTGTGACCCTGCTGACACCTCAGTAGTCATACGTCCCCTCCGGTGACAGTGGTCTGTCTGGTGACCTGGACTGTGACCCCTGCTGACATCTCAGTAGTCATACGTCCCCTCCGGTGATGGTGGTCTGTCTGGTGACCTGACCTGTGACCCCTGCTGACACCTCAGTAGTCATACGTCCCCTCCGGTGACAGTGGTCTGTCTGGTGACCTGACCTGTGACCCCTGCTGACATCTCAGTAGTCAAACATCCCCTCCGGTGACAGTTGACGGTGTGGTGACATGACCTATGACCCCTGCTGACACCTCAGTAGTCATACGTCCCCTCCGGTGAAGGTGGTCTGTCTGGTGACCTGACCTGTGACCCTGCTGACACCTCAGTAGTCATACGTCCCCTCCGGTGACAGTGGTCTGTCTGGTGACCTGGACTGTGACCCCTGCTGACATCTCAGTAGTCATACGTCCCCTCCGGTGATGGTGGTCTGTCTGGTGACCTGACCTGTGACCCTGCTGACACCTCAGTAGTCATACGTCCCCTCCGGTGACAGTGGTCTGTCTGAGTGACCTGGCCTGTGACCCCTGCTGACACCTCAGTAGTCTCCGGTGACGGTGAATGGTCTGGTGATCTGGCCTGTGACCCCTGCTGACATCTCAGTAGTCACATGTCCCCTCCGGCGACAGTGGTCTGTCTGGTGACCTGGCCTGTGACCCCGGCTGACATCTCAGTAGTCAAACATCCCCTCCGGTGATGGTTGACGGTCTGTTGACATGACCTATGACCCCTGCTGACACCTCAGTAGTCATACGTCCCCTCCGGTGACAGTGGTCTGTCTGGTGACCTGACCTGTGACCCTGCTGACACCTCAGTAGTCATACGTCCCCTCCGGTGACAGTGGTCTGTCTGGTGACCTGACCTGTGACCCCTGCTGACACCTCAGTAGTCATACGTCCCCTCCGGTGACAGTGGTCTGTCTGGTGACCTGACCTGTGACCCCTGCTGACATCTCAGTAGTCAAACATCCCCTCCGGTGACAGTTGACGGTGTGGTGACATGACCTATGACCCCTGCTGACACCTCAGTAGTCATACGTCCCCTCCGGTGAAGGTGGTCTGTCTGGTGACCTGACCTGTGACCCTGCTGACACCTCAGTAGTCATACGTCCCCTCCGGTGACAGTGGTCTGTCTGGTGACCTGGACTGTGACCCCTGCTGACATCTCAGTAGTCATACGTCCCCTCCGGTGATGGTGGTCTGTCTGGTGACCTGACCTGTGACCCTGCTGACACCTCAGTAGTCATACGTCCCCTCCGGTGACAGTGGTCTGTCTGGTGACCTGGACTGTGACCCCTGCTGACATCTCAGTAGTCATACGTCCCCTCCGGTGACGGTGAACGGTCTGGCGATCTGACCTGTGACCCATGATGACCTCGCAGTAGTCAGACGTCCCCTCCGGTAACAGTGGTCTGTCTGGTGACCTGACCTGTGACCCTGCTGACACCTCAGTAGTCTCCGGTGACGGTGAACGGTCTGGTGATCTGACCTGTGACCCATGATGACCTCGCAGTAGTCACACGTCCCCTCCGGTAACAGTGGTCTGTCTGGTGACCTGACCTGTGACCCTGCTGACACCTCAGTAGTCATACGTCCTCTCCGGTGAAAGTGGTCTGTCTGGTGACCTGATCTGTGACCCCTGCTGACACCTCAGTAGTCATACGTCCCCTCCGGTGACAGTGGACTGTCTGGTGACCTGACCTGTGACCCCTGCTGACACCTCAGTAGTCATACGTCCTCTCCGGTGAAAGTGGTCTGTCTGGTGACCTGACCTGTGACCCCTGCTGACACCTCAGTATTCATACGTCCCCTCCGGTGACAGTGGTCTGTCTGAGTGACCTGGCCTGTGACCCCTGCTGACACCTCAGTAGTCTCCGGTGACGGTGAATGGTCTGGTGATCTGGCCTGTGACCCCTGCTGACATCTCAGTAGTCACATGTCCCCTCCGGCGACAGTGGTCTGTCTGGTGACCTGGCCTGTGACCCCGGCTGACATCTCAGTAGTCAAACATCCCCTCCGGTGATGGTTGACGGTCTGTTGACATGACCTATGACCCCTGCTGACACCTCAGTAGTCATACGTCCCCTCCGGTGACAGTGGTCTGTCTGGTGACCTGACCTGTGACCCTGCTGACACCTCAGTAGTCATACGTCCCCTCCGGTGACAGTGGTCTGTCTGGTGACCTGACCTGTGACCCCTGCTGACATCTCAGTAGTCATACGTCCCCTCCGGTGACAGTGGTCTGCCTGGTAACATGACCTGTGACCCCTGCTGACATCTCAGTAGTCATACGTCCCCTCCGGTGACGGTTGACGGTCTGGTGACATGACCCGTGACCCCTGATGACCTCACGCGTATTATGACCTCACGCGACCTGGCCTGTAAGTCATCAGTCATTTGAGGTCGCCGGACTGGACACAGTCTCCAGCGAGAATATGGGCTGATAAGAGCCAAACGCAAGCGAAAGGAAAACAATATTTATTTATCATTTGCAGGGCATGCCATTAATGCTCACGACCTCCAGCGCCCGAGATCAGCTTTAACGTCAGACTTGTCCACCTCAATCCGCAAGACTGCAAGCCGCAGTAGAAACGCCACGTCCGCGACGCGACACGCCGTCTTGGCACGCGGTGCAGTCGGCACGGCCGGTACCGCGCACCAACAGAACGTGAACAGAACATAGCAGAGAACAGAACGAGTATGTTCAAGTGCATCACTTTGTCCTACTCAAGCGGACACATCAGCTACCATCGCTGCATGGTGATTGCACGCGCAACGTCTTAGAGGCGAACAGTCCTGAGAGCATGAGTATCAGCGAGCTCAGCTGGGTGCTGAGCGAGTCAGTGACGGCAGCGAGTCAGCGCATCGCTGCCGAAGGCAGCCGCGGAACGCGCTCACACACATTCATCACATAGAGTCCAGCGACCCGCGGCCTCTCTAGCAGTACAGCACGCAGGCCCGGGTCGTGCTCCACCGAACGACTCCAGGCACCCAAGCTCAGCTCACAGTGCGACATCAGTGCCACATCGGAGAGCCTGCGCCGGTCCAGCTCAGCTGAGACGAGTAGCCGAACGTTGCGAAAATGTGCGCCACCACGGCCAGGTGCGGCTTCTTGGTGAGCCGGTAGTTCGGGAGCGCCAGGGTAGACTCCCGCTCCTCCAAATTCAGGTCACCGAGCGCTCGAACAACTTGCCCACGGACACGCTGTTAAGTTTATACGCTCTAGCAGATGAGTGCCGGCGCCGGCGCTGGCGTCCAGCTCGAGTAGCACCGTCTCGTGCGTAGAAAGCAGTTCGCAGATCATCTAGCCGCGCTTGGTTATCACCAGACAGCCGCGCATCAGCATCGGCCGCAGCGTCTCCAGGCGCGGTGAGATCCACGCGCGCAAGCCGGCGGAACGCTCTCGGTGATTATAAGAGCCAACAGTCCGTCATCCCCACCACAGATCAAACTCGTACATGAGCAGTCTACAATAAGCCGACGATATTCACTTCACACTGTGAGAAGTTACTCGATATGAGAAACACGCGCCGCGTCGGCATTCGTCACGAAAATTACCGCGTTTGTGACGAACAGCCAACCGAAAGACGGCGGTACCTTGTGGACAACAGTCAGCAGTCCACCGTATGCAGCTGATAGATATAAGCTATGCAGCCGACTCGGCGGCATTCAGCGGCGCGTTCAGAGACACTGCAGCTGGCCAGCTGGTTCTCCAATAACAGCCACCACCGGCACTTGATATCAGCACATACACATACTGACCAGCTCTTCTCGCACCAACTCTAGGCGCTCAATACCGCGGCACAAGCGATATGTCCGCCCACACTCGTCATTGATCAGGTGGTCCAAAACACTATCTGCCCTGGTGACACTGAGTCAGGTCGGCGCCGCCGTGCCGCCACCAGGCCGTGACCGCCGGCTGCCGGCGGGTGAGCATCAGCAGGCACACAGTGGATCCGGCCAATGAGTCGACTTCGCAGCAGCGCGGCCGTGTCGAGCAGCAGGGCCAGCACTGCGTCGGTGCAGCTCTGGCGCGATGCCACCAGTCGGACGGCGGCGGCGACGCTCCGATCCAGCTGCCGGAACACGGAAGCGGCGTCACGAACATACAGAGAGATAGCAGTGGGTCGGCATTCCGCTAAGATCATACAAGGTAGTAGTAGATGGAAGCAGGTAGTACGGAAAGCAGGCGACAAAATGGAAATTAACTTATTACTTTTCCATGACAAGGAAGCTCTGTCTATAAGTCAAAGACAATCTTGAAACGGATCACGTCGAAAGCAACAGCTGACACCAGGTGTCTATATCGGACTGAAGGAAAACAGCTCCGGGTACCGAGTCGACGGACAGGGGGCAGAATATCAGCATCAGTGTATGTAAAACTTCGTTGTCGGTACCGTTTTAAATGTTCTCCAAGTGTTGGTATAATTGTATTACAACCAATGAAAACGTACCGTATCAGCGGAGAGCAGCCAGGTAGAGGTTGGCCGGTGTTGCCACTCTCAGTCGTCTGAGTGACTGCGGCCGCACACCGACAACCTGCGCTTCCGCACACCGACAGGCTGATGGCGCGTTGGCAAGCTTTGTCGCCTTCTGTAACAAAGAAAAACTCAGCTCAACATAGGGAAACACTTAAGATAACTAAATTGAGTCGGGAACCCTCGAAATCTGTCTTTTGGCACCAGCCAACCTGGTTATCCCCTGGCTACTGAGAACAGAATAGATGACAGCTGTACAATGACACAAATGATACTAGGTGAAATGACGAAAACTATTAAAGGAAGTTTATGCAGTTTATATATAAACGACACTCTAAAAGGTCTCATAAAGGACATACGCTTTGAAAGTTTGCGATTAGTACACTCGCGTCTGAAATGGGACGGTCAATTTGAATTTGCACCTGTATCCGAGCGAGCACGTTTTCTTCAGCATCAGAAGAGTACGGCGTAGTGCTGCCAGTGGCCGCCGCGAGTGCCAGCCAGCAAACTCTGTAGCCGCAGCTCCACGTGTCCGTCTGCTGCGGAGTCTCGGGCACCACCAGGCGCCAGCTGGTCCACTTGAGATGGGGCTGCGTCGCCTCCATGAGGAGCTGCACTGCCTCTGTGTAGGCTCCGGATGGCCAACAGCCCATGGAGTCGAAGAACAGCACCACTTGACGGCGCCAATCCACTACGAAGAGGACCCAGTGATTGCCAATATTCAGTGGCAACAACCACGTGTTCGCTGTGGCGAACTGCCTCATCGATTCTGTGGTGCAGCGTCGACAGGGTGTCCTGAGAGCACCATACCAGTACACCGACAGTGCCAGCACCTGCGGAGATGATATGGACTCGCAGAACAGATCGATGTCCTCCGCGGTCAGCCAGGGTCTGCGCTTCGGTGGTTGTCCTGTTCGCAGCGGCCGTCCTTTGGGACGCCCTGAGGTGGCGGCTGACGGCGCCCGTCCTTTGGGACGCCCTGCGGTGGCGGCTGACGGCGCTCGTCCGCTGGCTCGCTCAGGGACCGTGGCTGACGGTCCACGCTCTGCTGCGGTGGCGGCTGACGGTGCTCGCTCAGGGACCGTGGCTGACGGTCCACGCTCTGCTGCGGTGGCGGCTGACGGTGCTCGCTCAGGGACCGTGACTGACGGTCCACGCTCTGCTGCGGTGGCGGCTGACGGTGCTCGCTCAGGGACCGTGGCTGACGGTCCACGCTCTGCTGCGGTGGCGGCTGACGGTGCTCGCTCAGGGACCGTGACTGACGGTCCACGCTCTGCTGCGGTGGCGGCTGACGGTGCTCGCTCAGGGACCGTGGCTGACGGTCCACGCTCTGCTGCGGTGGCGGCTGACGGTGCTCGCTCAGGGACCGTGGCTGACGGTCCACGCTCTGCTGCGGTGGCGGCTGACGGTGCTCGCTCAGGGACCGATTTGGTCGCCGGGGCTGGGGCCGTCTTGGGGGCCGGTTTCGTCGCTTGGGCAGGGGCCGTCTCGGGGGCCAAGTCCAGCGGTGGCTTAGTACGAGCATACCACGTGGGCTTGTCACTCGTGCGGCGCTTGGCCCAGCATTCCTCCTGGGTTTCAGGATGAAACAGCCCTTCTGCTGCCTTCCTTTTCCGGCCCCTGAGGACAGGCCGGCTCGGGATCAAAGCCGCCTTCATGCGGGCAGCCGTGTCCTTCAGCAGGACTCGCACAAAGTCGCCTGGCTGCAGTCGAGTGCGTCCCTGCAGCATCTGTTTTTTGACGACCTTGAAGTGTGACTCGACTGCCGCGTTGGTCACCACGGCAGCCGAGATCACTTGACTCCAAAGTGGAGTGAGCGGCATGACAGCCCCCAGCAAGTACTCTACCAGGCCAGGGCAGAAGTACTTGTTGGGGACATCGCTGGCTTCCCCGTCCGTCTGCAGGCTGCACTTGACTCCGTTAGTGATGTCCTCGAAGTGACGCCCGAACGCGGTCCGCGCGCGGTAGGTCCTCCGGGCTGGCGCGTCTTCGGCTGCCTCCAGCGGCGCCTCGGTTTCTTGGCGGTCGTCTGTTCCATAGTCTACGCGCGTGACTTCCGGCAGCTCCACGGCGCACTTGCTCCTCGACAGGGCCAGGACACAGAGTCGCTTGTACGTTGTGTCTAGAGTTTGCAGCGAGGTGGCCTGCTGCATGCTGGCGAAGAGCCACATGAAGCCAGGTCTTGCCTCTGCAGCCACTCCTTTGCTCTTCAGGGTGTGCGCGAAACTGTGCAACAGGTGGGCACCGCAGAGACTTACGAGAGTCTTGGGCTGCTTCGTAGGGTCTGTGAGGCTTTGCCAGCAGGCCTCGAGGTACGCTTCGGTTGTGGTCTTGACGATCGCCTCCGACACAGCGTGTATAAGCGCCCAACTGAAGTCCGTGACCACCCTTGGAGGCGTGAGAGGGACCCTGGTCACGAGTTTGTATCCATGGGCCACCTGTGCCAGGAAATGCGCGATAGTGGGCACATTGTGGCTTTCCGCCAGCAGGTGGGCTAGCGGAAAACTCCTGTCGGTGTCAGGGCTCTCGGCGATGAGCGCGTACAAATATGGCCGTTTCTCGCCGACTTGGCGGGTGACAGAGCCCGTGGCATCGAGGTGGAGCGTCCTCGGAGCCAGATGGTATCGCCGGAAGAAGTGCTCCCTGTAGAGGTGTACCACGACCGGTGCCCTCCCGATGAGATGGATGCCACCCTTCACGACTTTACTAGTCAGATCCTCGGCTCGTGATATAGCCATCGTCGCCGCCAGGTCTTCAGTCCAGTTCGTCGAGTGGCGCTCGGCCACCCGACGCTCGTGTGCCGCTTGGCGCAGGATGTGGCGAGGTGGCGCCTCGGTGATATTTCCGTCCGCGAGCTCGCAGTCCGGTGCCTGCATCAGCATATCTTGCGACACACGGTACGCTCCGCGATCTTCCACGCGCTCAGCAGTCTCCCGTCGCCGCTCTCCGCTGAGGTACCGGTGGGCGTGCTGCAGCTGATGCGCCGTGCTCGGCGTGCCGTACGTCGTGCAGCGCACAGTCAGCGGTTCCCCTACCGACGGCGTATGTTGAATTGAGAAAGAGTACGAACTGCACGAGGGGAAGCGACATGTGGCGAAGCAGGTGAAAAACGCAGCACCCCTCTTACGCGACCACAGCTTCTTGATTCGCCGTCGACGGACGGCCAGTACGCATTTCGGCCCGGGAGTGCTTCGGCAGAACGCCGTCGCCAGCGTTGAGGGCCAATCTTTCTTCAGATTACGTCCGACAAATACCTGTTTGACCTCCTTTTCATCGAGCTGAAACGTGAAAGTCGACGGCCCCGCCTCTCGCTGGTCCGGCACTGCCGTCGCAGGACACCCGGGGTCCGCCTCTCGCTGGTCCGGCACTGCCGTCGCAGGACACCCGGGGTCCGCCTCTCGCTGGTCCGGCACTGGCGTCGCAGGACACCCGGGGTCCGCCTCTCGCTGGTCTGGCACTGCCGTCGCAGGACACCCGGGGTCCGCCTCTCGCTGGTCTGGCACTGCCGTCGCAGGACACCCGGGGTCCGCCTCTCGCTGGTTCGGCACTGGCGTCGCAGGACACCCGGGGTCCGCCTCTCGCTGGTCCGGCACTGGCGTCGCGGGACACCCGGGGTCCGCCTCTGTCGTCGCCTGATGGTGACATGTCGTATCGGTATGGGGCCGAGGTCCGGTAGGAACAGGATGCGGAAGTGCACTGATGAGCTCCAGCACATGCCTAGGAGAAGGAAAATGATTCGGTTTTAGGCATTGACCTATAATAAGTATAGACAGACTACACTGGCTTAATCAGCGCCTGAAGGCCGTTCCCGCTGAGCGACACTAGCGCCACCGTACGTGTAAGGGCACGAACTAATGACACAATGCTTTGTCTATGGGAAAAACGCGAAAGTTTATCAACTTCTTTCTCGTAAATAATACGACGGAAGGGAGCGAGACTACGTCTACAATGTAGAAGCGTCCAAGCTTAATCACCTGAACATAGCACAAAGTCATAGGTTGAGGGACACGGCACGCGCCACGTGCCATATAAGTGGTGACAAATTTGTTCGATCTACAATAACTTTACAACGACTGGGTTGATTGAGCTGAAACTTGGCATGTCGGTGGACATGCAAATGATAATGCATTTCCACGTGTCACGGTTAGGGTGCTGCTGCACGTGCGCACGCGCAGGGGACGCTTCCAGATCTCGAGAACGGCTGGGCCGATTGCGCTCAAATTTGGTACGTCGTTAGGGACCGTTTGACAGGGTGCCGTGCACAAGTCAGTTTTGGACCAGCTTGCACGTGCGCACGTGCAGGGGTCGCTTCCACATCTCGAGAGTGGCTGGGCAGACTGTGCTCAAATTTGGCACACCGTTAGGGACCGTTTGGCAGGGTGCCGTGCACAAGTCAGTTTGGGTCCACCTTGCACGTGCACACGCGCAGGGGTCGCTTCCACATCTCGAGAACGGCTGGGGAGATTGCGCTCAAATTTGGTACACCGGTAGCGACCTTAGGAGGGTGCCGTGCTTAAGTCCATTTGGGTCCAGTTTGCACGTGCACACGAGCACTTTCACATCTCGAAAGCGGCTTTGCCATTGCGCTCAGAATCATCATTTATTGATCCGTTAAAGGAGCATTCGGCTTCACTATCACGTAGTTTGCAGGTCTCATGCGCGTTTCTCTTCATGATTGCGAATTCGATTAACCCGCGCCCCGTTGGGCTCTGCCGAGCAACGCGCCCCGTTGGGGGGGGGGGGCATTTTGGCCCCCCTAAGATCTCGAGAACCACGCAGCCTAGCGGCAAGCGGCAAACGGTGTTGGATAGCCCTATCAGGGAACTACCTTGTGACCCAATTTTATTGACCTAGGTCAAACCGATGACGTCACAGGTCAGGTCAAAGGTCCAATTTTCACCGTTTACAGGCATTTCAAGGAATGCGTTGTAAAATCGAGTAAAATGCATTTCATTGAAAATCATCAATGGGGAAATGTTCTTCAAACACATATTTTGCTATTTGAGGTCACTGATACCAGGTCAGGTCACAGAGGTCAGGTCACGGGGGGTCACAATATGAAAGTGTCGTGTGATACATGTTTTATGGTCCATTTTACATGACAAATGCGATTGTGTGGGTCAGGCAGCCTTTGGGGCCAGCTTAGGTCACGTTTTGGTCAAGGTCAGGTCAAGGTCAGGTCAAGGTCAGGTCAAATTAGGTCCAAATTTCAAAGTTAATAATTTTGCATAAAATGGGTATCGAATCGATGCAGCTCGTCACGGGGAGTTCAATGGTGGTCTTTGTTTTGCCGTACGTGGTCTAGAATCGCTAAAAATTGAGTTCAAAAATTTGACGTCATCATTTTTGAACAGTTTTTTCGCTATAACTTGGCCAAAAAACGAGATATCGATCTGAAATTTGGTATGTATATAGAAGAGCGCAGGGACTATCACATATATTCCGGTTTTTTCGAAATTCGGAAAAATTTTGGTTTTTTTAAAGTTTTTCTAAAAAAATCAAGTTTTTGAATTTTTTGGGGTCAAAAACCCAAAATTTCGAAAATCCGAGATAGCAGTTTTGTAGCGCCGTTTTTTGTCTACTAGACCATATAAAGAACTTTGAAATTGCTTGATAACTGTAGATTTGGTGAGCGTTTCAAGATTGCATGTTTTTTGCTCATTTTTGCTCCAACATGACCTCAGTTTGACCTCAATAACTCCTGACCTAAGGTGACCTAAGACTTGAAATTTGGTGTGAAGGTGTCAAATTGATGCCCGGGAAGGTACTGAAAATTTGGCGGCGCTGCGCGCCGCCGTTTTCTTGCTATTCAGGAAAAACCACAGGGGGGGCAAAATGGTCCCCCCCAACGGGGCGAGGGTTAATACAGTTTGTTAGTTGATTTGACAATATGTATTGTGTATTTAAGATGAAGCTCAGCAGTAACATTCATGACATCATCAAAGCATCGTCAAAGCATATGAACTATGAATACATGAAAATAATGTTCATGGTAGTACGGGGACCCGCAGTTGCTACTGTACAGCGACCCTGAGTAAATTGTCCCAGCACCCTCACAGGGAACAATGATAAGCTGTCGGAGGGCACTCACAGAAAACTTCAGCTGCTCTTGTACAGGGACTGGCAGTCGATATCAATGTTATCGGTTGTTACTGGGCAGGACAGACGGCTAGAGTTGCGGTTCGTGTACAGTAGCAACTGCGGGTCCCCGTACATAGACTGTGGGATGAGTGGCGATATACTCATACCAATCTGAGTGCACATAATGATGCATCATTTCATTCACCCATGAGCCTCTTTAACCCGCGCCCGGGTGGGTCTTTCAGCCAACTTCGCCATTGTGATGGGAGGAGGGGGCACGTATTTGTCCACGCCATATTATCTCGCAAAGGAAGAAAGGTAGAAAGATGCGGAAAAGGCAGTAGGTAGCTCGCTATAAGAACTTTGAGAATCATCTAGACAATTTTTCGATCAGGTCATCGCTAAAGGTCACTGGTGTCTGGCGATCACCAAAAGTTCACGAATTCTGGTTTTCGATTTTAACAACGTTCCACAAATCAGCGCACACACAAGTAAATGAGGGGCCTTCTGCTCTTGAGCACTTATGTTGAGCCACGCAAGAAATAATTAAGCCAGTCATTAGCAGGTCACACTTGGTAGGCATTTCGATTGTTGCAGTCTTGCTGAGCTTCCATTCAGATTTCTTGACGGCTCCAGTCTCCATCGTGTTTAATTGCAGTAGCAACTTACAACTGAAGATCGTCAATCTTTTTTACTTTATATCTTGGCCATAAGTCGGGCTATGTCTGGTTCAGTTGGCAGATGAATTTCAGCACACTCCAGAAGCCTTCCAGCAACAGGAACATAGGCCTGTGCCCTCTTAGGTAGACCGTTTCTCATAACATTTGTGAAGATTGCAATTGTCTCTCAGTTTTTTTCTTCTCTTGACTCTAGCCATTAAGATAAAATTATCAGTGTCTGACTGCTCTAGCAGATAAACAGGATAAATTTAAAGAAAATGAAATAAAATGCTTTAATTACATAAATACCAAATATCTCAGATCACACTGCTTGAAATGCCTGCTGTAATAACGTAAGTCAATTTAATCGCCTTGAAATGATTCACTTATCACGTGCAATGTGTGGTTGATATTTGTTTGTGCTCTTTATTGGTGACAAACTATCTTTTCTTGTTTAATATGCACAGAACTGTCAACACACCTTACGCAATTTGCAATGCAGCAACAATAAATGATACCGAGGACTTTGTTTATTCCGTTACCATGGAGACGATTTCGTGAGGCTTGACTTCAAACCTTAAACGTTTAAATAAATGTTTTGTAGTAAAAGTTAGCGTTCTGTTACACATTTTAAAATAAATTAACGTTAAATATTTAATAAACTTTTATTTCTACGTCCGTGCTTAAAAGTTAGGATTGCCCTTATCCTGCGCTGTAATTTCAGAAAACAATTTGCTTCTTTGGTCGACGAGGAACGCCGCAAAAACGCGAGTAGTTCGTCTATACTTATTATAGGTCAATGGTTTTAGGCCATGGTCAAAGGAGAGCAACAGAGGTCGGACAACATCTCCACCCTTTCAAACCACGTCACGTTTTCTGACGATTAAACGGCGGACATATATGGGGGTTCTGGCTCTAGAAGTGGTTTGTGGCGCGCCAGCCTATAATGTCCCACCGACTGTTTACTATGCAAAACTGTGGGTATTCTATCTCTACCGCATTTTTTCCGATAAAAAGCAAAAAAAAAAACAAACAAAAACAGTTCATGGTCGGCGGCCCGCGAGGCTCGGCGTGGCTCGCCAGCCTCGCTTCCAACTTGTCCGGTTTATAGAACCGGGATGGGGTTAAAATGCGTCGATATCTTCATAATTGTATTCTTATTTTTTGCAATAGGTGAGCACCAGGAGTTAGGACACTGATTACTTTCGCATTACTGATGGTTGTGGACTTCGTGTGTGTTTTATGCTCTTGTGTCAACATCATCAAAGCTTGTTCTGACCTTTGCCAGTGTTTATCATATCTTAATTCATTAGAAGTTAAACATATCGCATTATAATCGAGAACAACAAGCCATATAATCAGAATGAAGATGGAGAAACCATACAATATAGAACAATGTTGCAACAAAATTAGCACAAGGAGCCAAGGACATATTTAAAGCTTTGCATGATGGCATAGGGTACATGGCCACTTGGTAACATGTGCCATTTCTTATTTGTGCCAGTCAGTTGTGGGGAACGAAAGCGCAAAAAATCCAATACTAATATTCGCCAAGTACATGCGCGGACCTGGTCGGTACTGCAGCTGATTAATGGCGGCGGGAGACGCACTGTCGCTGCTGCTTGGGCCTGCGGATGGCCAAGAGTAGGCATTTCCCGCCCTTGTGGAGGCGTTCCCCTGTACGCGTACCTGCGGCTCGGGAGCCGGTCTGCTTTTGGAGCACCCCTGGTCTGGTAGCGCTGTTCAGTCGCTAGCCTAATACTGAAACACTAGCATTCTCTCCTCTAACAACATTAACACCTCTTACTCTTTTCCTTGCGCTAGCCTACAAGGCAGCGTCATCTGCCCTCAGTGTGTCCCCCGACAGTCATAATCCGTGTTGTCATTCTGATGTTTTTCTTCTTCTCCCTTTTACTTGCACGTGTTTTTAAATAAACGTCATGACCTGGGTTTATACATTGC